GTGTTTATTGCTTTGATAACTGGCATTCCGCTCATATTTCCCCCAATTGGGACCCTCTTCCTTTTTTTTATTTTGTTCTCATGATGTTGTGCCTTTGCACCTCTCACAACTACTCCAATTCTATTCAAATACCCATTATAGAGAGTCGGCATATGCGTGGACGTAACAGATAGTTTTTCTACCGCGAAACCACGAGCCTCTCGCATAAAATCTCTTTCAAGTCCGCGTCAAGACAACTCTTAGAAGTCCTTGTTAGGTCATACATGTTGCATAAACCCTAGGTGGTTTGACCCTTGGCGTCAATCCATATAATTAGTTGGCACTCCATTGTCTAAAGGGCTCCAACACCCTTTAGACAAATTGCATATTTATGTGTCAATTTGATCATCATATTTTAAATCAAGTCACTATGTCAAAATGGAGTTAAAATATTTCTTTGACTCTAAAACTTCAAATTGGCAAAGTATAACTTGAATCAATTATGTGACCTTATTCTATTAACTGTTATAATTGTCCCACTTTGAGCTTATTATGTCATTCATTTGAAATTATAATTTTGGCTCACTATATAATAACTCAGTTTTGTGTTTGATTTATTTCTTTGACTAAAGGTTGTCTAGTATTTGGATAATTGGCTCGACTAAGATTCTGCAATATGACAAATATGTTCAACCTTCGAAAAAATCACCCATCTTCTCGTCCAACACAAAGTACCTTTTGGACCATCTCTCCTCATCCTATTCCTACTCACACCCTCTCTCAACAAAGGTCTCCAATACGCCTCAACTTTGATGCTTAAGGATATGAGGGAATAGATGACAAAATAGAGAAGTCTAAGCTAGATCCACTGCAGCGAAAAATGCATGACTTGGAGGAAAAGGTGAATGGAGGATTACATTGAATACCTACTCATGACCTAAGATATAAAAATTTATGTCTACACCCAGGAGTTGAATTGCCGTCGGGATTTAAAATTCCAAAATTCAACATGTTCGACGGACGTGGGGATCCAATAGCACATCTCAAAGATTTTTGTAGCAGGCTAGTTGGCTTAGAAAACAATGAACCTCTCTTAATGAGGTTATTTATTCAAAGCTTATCAGGAATAGCCTTCACTTGGTACGTCAAAATGGCTCGCATGGGAAGACATGGCTCGAGACTTTGTGGAACAATACAAGTTTAATAAAAAGGTTGACCCTACAATGTTAAATTTGATCAAATTGAAGAAATTAAGTCATGAATCTTTTGAGGAATAAGTCATACGATGGAGAATGGAAGCCTCCAAGATACGTCACTTACCGCATGAAGAGGAGTTGGTCCAAACTCTCATCAGATCACTTGAGGGTATATACTACAAAACCCTATTCTTTGCTGGTATTCAAAGTTTCGACAGTCTAATTCGAATTGGAAAAGATTTAGAATATGGAATTCAGTCTGGAAGAATTGCTGATACACAAAAATCTTTTCAAGTCCTGAAAAACTCATTAGATGAAAGGAATGAAGATGCATCTACCTATATACCTCCAAAACAAAGAAATCAGAATATTGAGCAAATTCATGCTATTCTTGAGCCTTCCAACCCTCAGGTATCTCAACATAAGGTCAGGAAACCTCGTGTCTTCAATCCCTTAAGGGAAACTTTGAACGACATTTTCCAGAGATTATGCGCTAAAGGACTTCTAAGACCAAAAAAAGGATGGATTCCCAAGCACTCTACTTCAAACTTTGATCTATCCAAAAATTGTGCCTATCATTCAAACATTCAAAGTCATGACACTGAAGAATGTGCATCATTGAGAAACAAGATTCAGAATATGATTGAAAAAGGAAAAATTATAGTGCAACAAGGATGACAAAACAACAATTGCAATCCTTCTATGGCGAATAAATTCATTGTTCAAGGAGATCCTACAAAGATGTACGTTAGGCACTTGACAAGGAAGCGTAAATCACATCAGAGAAATTGATATGGACAAGACTCTTATGAACAAAGTTGGCTTTATTGTTCTCAAACCTTATGCCCAAAGCCTTCCTCATTCCCTTCATTTTTCCTTGTAGTTCTGAACTACGTTTGACCTGATTTCCTTTTAGGATACGTAGGCAACCCTCGATGGGTCCGGTCTCTATCAAATAAATTTTCTTTCTTTCCCATGGTTATTCAAAACACTCATTTACAAATTCAAATCTGGACTAATTGACAATCCATGAACATAATTTACACTTCAATTCGAAGTCGAGCCTTAATGTCCAAATACAAGACAATCACTTTCTTTGGAACATACAATTTTTTCTTTGAGTGAAGCAGGATCAAAATTCCTTACTAATAAACTGGGGCAGAATTTTTGAGGAAACCTCAAAAAATTTCATAAAGATGTTTGAAAAAAGCGAGTATATATCTTATACTCTAAACTGGGGCAGAAATGTTTGAGAAATCTTCAAAAATTTAATCACAACAGAATGCAACTCTAAAGGCAAAACAAGCACAGGTACGACCCTCTCTCGCCTTTTGAATTTACGATTTTTCTCTGGATGCAGGAATAAATTATATATGAGCGTACTGTCATATTTAGGAGCTACTATGTAAGTCATACTATCCTCAGATTATTTTTTGAAGAGGCTATTATCAACTTTCTTCTACGATTGACTGAATATATATTTTAGCTCTCTCGCCTTATTATAATATGACATTTAGGCTCTTCCGCCTTACAATAGGGTATTTAGGCTAGTCTGCCTTACAATACGACATTTAGTCTCTTCCGCCTTATAATAGGATATGTAGGCTCATCTGTCTTACAATACGATGTTTAGGCTCGTCTGCCTTACAATACGACATTTAGGCTCTTCCGCCATACAATAGGATGTTAAGGCTTTTCCGCCTTAAAATATGATGTTTAGGCTCGTCTGCCTTACAATACGACATTAAGGTTCTCCCGCCTTACAATAGGATGTTTAGGCTCTTTCGCCTTACAATAGGGTATTTAAGCTTATCTGCCTTACAATACGACATTTAGGCTCGTCTGCCTTACAATACGACATTTAGGCTCTTCCGCCTTACAATAGGATATTTAGGCTCATTTGCCTTACAATACG